AGTAGATCATTAAATCTCTTATTACACAGCAAACTGCACTCTCAGAAAGGACAGTACATAAATTAAAACTGGTAAAACAATCAAAGACAGGTGATATCCAGGAGTGTGAAAATTAAAAACATTGCCAGTAAAAATGTAAAAAAAAATTAAATGGAAAGCATAAGCAGACAAAATAGACTCCCTTAATGGTAGTCAAACATATTAATAAAATTTAGACACAGAGGTTTAATGCCATTAAAAACGTCTCAAAACTATTTCCAAAACCTTAAAAAACCAAAAGGTTATTGATGATTTTAGGCACAGAGATACACTGTACTCTGTCCACCATGGAAAATCAAACCCTAGATTTTATCATTAATTCCAAAAACTTACCGATAACTCACCAAGGAATGAATCAAAAAGATTCTGTAAATCATGATTTCAGTTATTTGCACATTGTTTTTGGATGTTATGTTGCATGAAATGAAATTATTAAGTGCATTTTCAGTGTTCATTGGTTTGTTAACAATTAAATTTATTTTAGTTATCAATCTGGCCAGATAACTGTGACGCTACTATATCATTATCTGATTATATGGAACAGAATTTCTATAGTTCATAAAGACAAATTACAATTGCAAGTTACAAATACTAATTACAGTTAGGTTTCTCATTTTCTTGTTAATCTATTCACATCTAGCTCACCGTACAAGCTTTCTCAAAGCTTCAAGAAATTCTAAGCAGGCTGCTGATAAATGTGTTCAGCATCCTACAATCAGGTAAAATATGTAATTTCCAGTATTTTGGACTACTAGACCTAATCTTACATCATTCTCAAAAGATGGAAAACATAATACAATATACAGACTTCAATTCGGAGAGTGCACTGATTAAGATTTTCAATACCGATAGCCAATGATTACCTTATCATATTGACCAATGCTGGTACCAATATTCAATATTGGTGCACATAAAGTACTTTAAACTTGTGAAATAAATTAAAATTTAACCTATAGATAATTGTTTCCGGTTGCATTTATAACAAATATTTATTGTGCACTTTTTTTTAAGAAAATTAATAAAAGTCATAACATAGTTTTAAAAATACTGTGCATTAATGCTTCTAGAAACACTTCTGAACTGTAAATGTAGCTTTCATTAGTTTATAGTAGAAACCTTTTATATACAGACATAATTAACTTTAATACAAAAAGTCAACATAAAACTATTCAACTTATTTTACAAACTTCAGCCTAACAGAGAATGAAAAACAACTTTTGGCTTCAAAACATAATACAGATACAATGGAAGCAACTTCATGATAATGATGTAACCCCAGACCATGTGCACACCTCAGCCACAACCTTCCTGGCAGTGTTTTATAGCCAAAGATATCAGACTAGAAGTCTAGTATTATTTATTTTTTAAATTTCACTTTCAATTATGACACAAAATAAGTACAAAAAAAATAAAATTTGGTGTACTTGTAAACGATCTTATTATTGAAGAGTTGCTGTAAATTATTATATAAATGCTTATAATTTTAAGAAACAAATACAAACACATTATAGTAGTATTTTAACAAGTTTAATACTATGAAAATCAGAATTTGGAATGTGTGACAGCATTAAAACTGACGGCCCTTGTAAAATGGTTTATGGCCATGGTAAGAATTATGTAGCAATGGTCGCTTAGGCTGTCATTCGAAAAAAAAAAAGTAGTTCGAGCAGTGAGCATCACAACATCCTATGCAACAACACAAAAACATTTCATGTACATTATCAGCTAAAGCAACAAAAACAGTTGGTAGCCAATAACTTTCCTTTATATTGGTGCCAGAACAACTGGCGCACCCCTAGCTGCAACCTCAATGTACAGAGAAAGAGTATATATGTGACATCACAAACCATAATATAAAAATACATAAAACTATCAGCTTAAAACCTACAAAAAACATAACTCATCTAAAAGGAATGGGCTCAAGAACTCACTATAAAACACAAGAAAAGTCAATGCTGAGATTAAGACTATTTAAATCATAAAACTTCTACCCTTTAATCAGAAGCTTCTTAGACTGAATAATAAAGTAAGAAAAAAAAAAGATAAAAAGAATCATGTCCAAACATCAGAAGAACTGGTAATTATTCAAGTGAAAGCACCTACGAGGTAATAAATTAAAACAAATAAAAAGGTAAATAAAACAACACAGACTAATACTATGGGAAGTTAAGATACAAGTCCCTGAAAAATCCATTGTAACTGTGATAAGTCCCTCTTTTATCACGAAGTTGCTTCTTCAAATAATAATTCATATAGTTTTCAAATATGCATTTTATGATACAAAAATTATATCAGTCACTAAACTAGAATGTCTGAAACTACTATAATTTAACTGGCATTCTAATATAAATAGGTTTAAAAAAATCCCATTAGTTTTTCAAAGCTGAACTAAAGACAATCACCACTGAAAAAACATAACCACAAAAATATTTTAACCCTAAAATTGAACTGAATTAAGCTGAATGTTTACCTTCTCTGTTTTGTCTTGCTGATCTGGTTGTTCTGACTTTGGCTTGTCTTCCGTTTCATTTTTAGGTGATTCCTGCTGATCTTGTTCTTCAGTTGGTTGGTCACTTCCACTAGACCCAGAGAATAGCTTTCCTATTGTACTTCCCAGTCTGGAGAGAGTTGATTCAAAGTCCTGTTCTTTGTTTTCCTCTGTTTCTAGAATCTTCTTTTCAAACACAGCCTCTGCCTATTAAAAAAAGAGCAAACAGGTGACTAAATGCCATTTTACCACATATATTCACATGTCTAGTTATTCACACAGTTGTAAAATATTATGACTGCAATAAGTGTTTTGGATTGGAATAACATTTAAGACATGTTCTTGCCAATCACATACAAGTTTACAAATATATAATCAAGAGACTAATAAGATCAGAAGTGCTATACTCAACACTTCCAGCAACTTTCCCTTTATCATCCACAGTAAAAGAACTATATTTCCTTAACCCTGGTAACCAATACATTTTTTGCTCCTTCCTTCTTAAACTTAGTGATTTAGAAATTTTATGACCTTGAGTGCTTTTTAAATATCATGTCTGAATCCATCTGCACACTTTGAATTGTACCACACAGTTTCCTGTATGTTCAATTTGAATTTCTTTTGTTGAAAAATTGCACTGTTTATAACCTATCAAAAATGCAGAAGTCTTTAACCATTTGATAATTAAAAGCCTTTTTACCTTTTAACAGACAAATTCTTACCTATTTATAGTAAAAACATACTTATTAAAATAAAATTTATAAATTATTTTGTCTTCTATATGACAGCACACAACTGACAAACTACATTTTAAATACCTAAAGTGATGCATATATTTCTTTAGATATTATTTCATTAAAAAATTATCAGTATTAAGAACTACTTTCAGATATTCTATTGATTATATTATCAAATTCTAAAAATATAATAATAAACAAATTATCTAATGTAACTGTAGCACAAAGTTCTGCCCGCCCAACATATGAATAATATGATTTAGTACCTTCATTATAAAAGCTCAGTATATCATTACCGAAAAAAATTGATAAAGACTCGTATTGAATATTCTGACTTAACATGTCCAAAGATGCTTTCCTAATCACAAACTGACAGATTTTCTAAGTAAGAGTCCAAAAACCACTACATCATTTTTCATTCAAAGGTAGCATAACTTTTATTTAACAATGATATTCTTTATATTAAAAATCTTTATATAAAAAGTAATATTTTAAGTGTATAATGTATTTTGGAAATGATTTTCAAAAGATTCACGGTTTTGTGAATTTTGCTTAAAAAGTATCATGTTTAAAATGCTTTGATTATCAAACTTCAAATTATGTAACACAACATTTCAGAATGACCATGCCTGATCTAAATGCAGCAATCCACTTTCATCCATCCTAAAGTGAGCTTTTACTCCTTTCGATTCAGATCCATCTTCTCGGTGTTTGTCAAGAGCACCAGATACACCACTTAAGCCTATCCGAGACAGATTTGTATCACCCAAGCTCCTGAAATAAATGAAATACATGCTTTCAAAATACTTTCCTTTACCGTTGCATGAAACAAAAAAAAAATTCCTTACTTGTGTGTGTGTGTGTGTGTGTGTGTGTGTGTGTGTATGCACACACGTACATGCATAAGTATGCACATACACAAAGATAAATAAATCAATTTTTAATGTTTCAAAACTTTACGCTGACTTGGAATTTTAGGAGTTTTTATGAGACCCTAAACCACATTTGAAAATCTTTCTCCTGATTTCAAGATTCCTCCAACCCTTTTACAAAAATAGTGATAAAAATATGTTCATAATGTTTTGGTTCATTAAGATGTGACAAGTATAACAACATTTATAATAATAATAATAAAATCATTTCCACATGGTCAATTGTTAAATAATTGTTTCAAATTATTCAACTTGTGTGTATTAATCGGTTCTTATGTTAAGTTTAATCATTACTTATTACACTTATTTGTAACAACTAGTAAATCTCAAATTTCCAAACATTTTAGATAAAAATTGCTTACACTGGTTAATTTCAAAAAACTAAAAACTATATTAGGTGTTTGTTGCATAAGTAAAAACATTATGACATGTGTAAATAAACAATGATCATTGTAATACACTTCAATATGCCCATTACAGCAAACAGTCCAACACTGGGATAACGTGTAATCTAGGTACTACATCAATCACAACTATAAAATATCCCACACTAGTGTATATGATCATAAATTTACTTAAATAACATGTTTTGTGCCACATACAGTAAATAGTTTTAATTTTCCATACTATATTAGAGAATGTTTGTGAATGATTCTGACTAATATCTCCTACTCTTGTGAATATTTTGTAACACTTTCTTTTATTTTATTATCTTTTGATAAAGTGTGTGGAATATACAATCTGTATAATAACTCAGTTTCTTCTGATGCAACCAACTGGACATGTTAAAGTTGATTTTAAACAAACATTTTGTGCAAAGCTTTGCAAAATATTGAGTTAATGCAATTACCGATATTTAGTTACTTTCTTATACATATGCTGTCTACAAAAATATCAAAACATTTGTTTATCATTCTTGCTTACACACTGTTACTATAATAAAATAAAAAACACAAAGATATGTTTACCTATATAAATCTATGTTTGTTTGTTTTTACAAATAACAAGACAGTTCAACAAATCACTTATAGCATATTCATTCATTAATAAATATTTTATTCTTTTTAACTTCAAATAATTTTATTGTTAAATATTTATTTACTTCAAATTAACAATGGTTTGGCCTCAAATTTTTTTAGATTCGATTGTTTTAGTTCAAACATTTATTCTCAATATCATATTTCTAAAAAGACCATTTTTTCCTACATTAAGCATATATTATATTATATAGCCACAATAGAAATAATAGATCAGTATGCCAAGAAAGTGTACAATATAACCACATACCTGAGCTCTTGTTCAGGAAGGAAATCTAGTTCTGCATATTTAACTGAAATCTCAAAATCTTTTACATGACGACTGAAAGTCATAAGCTTTTTCTGAGGAAAAGGGTTGTTACGGCTAAACAAAATACGACTAACCATCTTTACACCCATTGAACCATCATCTTGCTCAAACTCCCTTTGAAACTCTACCTGTGGAGAAAAAAAATTTAACTCTAGGTATCTAAAGTTCCAGCAAAAAATACACTACTATACAATTATACCTAAACAAGAATTACAAACTGAAAATATCTTAGCACCATACATTCCACATCTCAATTAAGTAATAAAAACACACACTAAATTCAACAAATTTCACAGCAGTTCAATAAAATTGTAATTTTTGGAATGTGCAAGATAACTGCATATTACTATTTTTGATACATATTCTGACAAGTCATACATCTATATCAATGTTATCACAACTGTACAAGTATAGCTATTACAACTAATGCAAGTATATAGTAGTACTATGACTACCACTCTTTCACTTTAGAAAAGCTATTACAAAAAAATATATTTTTTCATTAAACACTCAAAACACTTTTTTTCTTAAGGTATAATAAAGTTTTTATTAATTAATTAAGTTCTTAAAGTTCTTATTAATACCGTTGGAAAGTTTTTACATGATCAATTATTTCAATTGAAATGTTAATTACAGCTGTCCAACTAGTGGAATTTGATAATTGATTAATTGTCAGCTCATTAACCAATGTCATTCATTTAATCAGTTATTCACACATGAGAATTGGATCATTGGGAACAATTGATGTAATTGAGTTTACAGATAAGTGATTATATCAATTAATCAAGTTAATCATCAATTCTAATGTCAATACAAAAAGATTATCACAGACAATCTAATTTTCCAAAATTCCTAAATATTTTCATTCAATAAGTAAAAGTTCCTCCAACTGGCCTAATAAGAGCCCATATAGCACAAACTAAAAGTTTTTATCTTGTCACAATTAGGGTTCATTTTACTTCACTTGATAAAACTGGTATTTAATTCCAAAAACTGATAAGTAAAGAATATAGGATTGTACAGCTTACATACAGTTGATAATTAATACAAAGGCAAAAGTCAAAGCAAAAATATCACTAAACAAGTTTATTCAACAATTAGGTGAATTTCTTTATGAACATCCTAGCAGTTCCAATGACAGATGAAACATCTTAATGCTTCTAGCAACCATTAGGTGACCATTGCACAGTTTTATCCAATTTGAAGTTACAAATTTCATATTATTAAATATATAAGTAAATGCTCTAAATGAAGAAAGGATCTTACCTGGATGGGATATATATTTGCATCTTTAATGTTAAATGGTTTCACTTTAAACCCTTTGCTAAGATGAGCAGCTTGATAAGCTGCACCTAAAGCAGCAGCTTCGTCAGTGTTAATACTTTTTCCCAATTCAGATTTTCCAACAACTTCTAGTAGCTTCTGTTGCACTTTGGGAACTCTGGTTCCAGCTCCCTTTAACACAACCTGATCAATTTCTTCCTGTAAAAACACAAAAACAATATTCTGAACAACCTAATCTGGTAAAATATGGAATATATTTCAAAACAATCTGACTGGTTTTTGCAGCTGTATAATATGACATAATCTAACCAATTTCTGCCTATACATTAAGAATAAATTTTCAACATAACCTGACCAATTTCTGTGAATAACAAAAGAAACAATCTTTATCATCATCTGATCAACAATCTATCTGTAATATAATTACTGGAGGAGACTAATTTTATTTTCAGATTCATTTGAAATTCAGTCAAATTCTTGACTAAAGAAACAGAGCAAGGTTGAAAGTAATGATCATGTGAAGCATCACAGGTTTGTGGGGTTACTGACAACTATGCAGGTATCTAAGTACTGAAAAATGAAGGGGATGTTGAAATGATAAATTGCACGACCATTTAAGGAAGATTAGCACGTGTGGCTTCAAGTAACCTCAGCCTAATCCAGCCTGTCTTACAAACTGATAATGATAGCAGAAAAAAATATATGTTTGAGTAGTGTGAAAGATAGCTCATAATGATAGATTTTAAGTAAATTTATAAATTCATGTATTTGTCAGTATTATCCATCACAACAACAACAACACTAACTTCTTTGGTTTAATCTATTTTAGAATCTCTTTAGGGCATTCATGTTCTAATACTTGCATATCACAAAAAAAAGAGCACCAAAGATCCTATTAAACTTGGTCTAACTTGCACAAACAAACCCAATTTATTTGATGGTTTCAAAAATAAAATAGTTAATCCAACAAAAGCATTACCATATCAAAATATATTATCTTGCTTATATATAATTTCTTGCTTATAATCAATGATTAACAAATGTTATATTTTGTCCTTCAAGACATTTTTGTTAGCCTGCTTTCAACTTGCAGGTCATTACTCTTATCTTTGTATTGCAAGAATAGCTAGAGAGTTCCATTTCTTGTTCAAATAGCTAACTAAATATCAGTAGAATTTAAAGTCACCAAATTTTACTTAACTTAAAGTTAATTTTATTCTCATATATGATAAATATTAATATAACAAACCTAGTATTAAGCCTAAGGCAACTTGTTTATGCAATAAAATGCCTACTCTAAAGAAATTTTACTTTGAGATCCACCAAATCCCCAAGGTAAATTTGTGTTAGTCCACACTTTCTGACATCATAATATATATAAAATTGGCCAAATTATACTTTACTAAGTATACAAAATCTCTTCAGACAACTAAATATTTTATGGTCATTTTGCAAACTATGCCAAATTCAGCTTCATTATCTATACAAATTCTAAGCAAATTACATTAGTCCTTTCTAATTCTTTTAAGTTTGTGACAACTTTGCCTTCTCACCACATGTCATAACTATATGGGGCTCTAAATTGTTCCTATTGCAAAACAATCAAGCACATTGCACTTGGTGTTATAACATTTCTTTACAAATTAATTTTTTTTAAATATAACTCAAAACTAGTAAGCAGTTTATGACAAGTAGATATATGCAATTTGAAGTCAACCCATACAGCATGTACTTTTACTCATAAGCATCATACCAAAACAATAATTTGAAGCCACATTTAAACAAGTTTTGTTGCTAAAAATATACAAAATAATATAAATCACAGAAACAGGGTTTATCCATTTTTTTCAACATCAAATTCAAGGACTTTTGATTAAACTTGAAGGAGTAAATTAAAACAGTTTAGGCAACACATTAGATGCATCAAATGATGATGATAATTCATCAAAAGCAAAAAGACATCCTTTACTTTCAAGCATATACATTTTGATATATTAATTAATGGGAAGTAAACAGTTTAGACAAATCCCTAAATTCTATCAAATCAATCCTTCATTATAATATATATATATATATATATATATATTCTCACTTATAAGTGGTAATTTAACACAATATATCTAGAGATTTGGGAAATAAAACATGTTGAAGGTGCACATTATACCTTCAATTTTATGCCCTCTTCTCTCCAAGAGACATACAATTTAAGCTCCAGATACTACTTTACACCACACTCGTCATGGAACAAGTAAACACTTGCTGTTTAATCTTTCGACTGTCTTGCAACAATTATTAAAAATTTAAGCCATTCACAAAGGCTTGTTTGTTTTGTCAACTGCAATGCCAAATGAATCCTGTAAGCATATTAACACTTACAAAGAAGCAGTGCTTGAGTAGAGCAAATCATTCTAAACAAGCTTCTTGCACAATCAATAAGAGATCTGTGATTACATGCAGGAGCTTGTAAGTTATTTTCTGACACCTCCAAAAAATAAAAATTGCACAACTGCTACTGCTGACAGTGATATTGTACTACAAATCAGCATAATGACTATCATAACTTTGACCACTCTTCTTTACTAATTTCACAGTCACTATGAACTACTTTGGGGTATTTTTCACATAAAATAATACTGTTTATATATGCAAGCTTTCAGTTCCATTAACTCTTTCAACACGGGCTCGGTCCCTGGGACTGCCCTCATAACCATTTTGTGCTTGTTATAGTTTACATGCTATAACTTTTAAATTAGTAAGTGAATGTTAACAAAGTTTGCCAGATTATCAGTAAACATTACAATGCTTTCATACACAAAATATCTAATTTTTGTAATTTCAGTCTTAAGGTTTATAAAGCAATGTTTTCTCATGTCTTTTTTTTCTTTTTGCATGTTGCCTATCTATCATGTAAAGTAATATTCATTTTAAGATTATAGATACTTTTATGCATCAGAAAATGTTGAAACTTCACATGCGAAATCTT